AATGCTATATTTTTAAATAGGTGATTAAATTTGCTAGCAATATGACGAATGCAATATACATGATACACATTTGGAGGTTGCCACCCAATGTGTGGATTTGATACAGCCTCTTTTATACTTTGATGCCTATCTGATATCAAACAAATTCTGGATCTATCAGTAACATGCAAATGAATCAATGCCAAAAACCATTCCCATGTTGACAATGTTTCTCCTTCAACAATTGCAAAAGCTATTGGAAGAACATAATTATTTCTATCTTGAGTTGTTGCAATAAGCAATATATGATGATACTTACCATATAAAAACGTCCCATCCACTTGCAATATCGGTTTGCAGAATTTAAAAGCTTCATGACATTGTTTGAATGACCAAAATAATCATTCAAATACTCTAAACCTATTATCCACTTGATGACCAACCACATAATCTTTTGTTTCAATTTTATAAATAGATCCAAGAGCATGTAATTGTATGTATTCTAACTAATATGGCAAGGTAGCGTATGATTCATCCCAATAACCAAATACTTTAACAATGGTTTTTTACTTCGCCTTCCAATCTTTTTTATATGAAATTTTGTATCCAAACTGAAAACAAATTCGCTCTTGTATCAATGAAATATGTACCGATGGTTCTTCATTCACCATTCCTATATAAAATATAATTGGTTTAGTTAATAAGAATGTCATTGTAAAAAAATAAAAATGCAATTAATATATGTTTTACCAAGAATGTATGAACAAATTAAATCAGAATCTAACTTTTGATGATCTTGAGAAATTCTCAGATTGACACATGTATGTGAACTATCCTATCTAGTAATTCTTCACTTGTTTGTATTCTTCAACAATGAAGCCCTCACTCTCCATGGACAACCACTGCTATGGTTTAAGCATTTAACATACAAACATGTTGGTTTAGATTCAGGCACAAAATAACTTTGATGAATCCTCATTACGTAATGTTTTAATGCATTCTTCACATCTTTTTTACTATCAAATAACAACCCAACGAATAAAGGTTCTCCTTCAACCCATGAAGTGACTTCTTCAGAATGTTCTTCATTGATTTCTTGATCAAGATATTCCAATTTAATATACTTATACTGTGGAGTAACATTCCAAAAAGGAATTATATTTCCTGCATTATATTTTGCCAAAATCTTCACCATTAATATTTAAATAAATAACTAAAAACAACAAATTTTTAAATTTATTCCACATTACCTCCTACATTTTCTATTACTTCTATATTTAAGTTAGAATGAAACTCGACTTCAACATCAATAGAAAAAGAACTGCCTAACGAAATTTCTACTTTATCATCTCCATCAGTATAACTCTCTGCATATGAGTCTTCATTATCTTCATCAACATCATTCCTAACTCCTTTATTGCAACAAATTTATCAGTTTTAATTCTAACAATTACATATATTACTTAAAAGATATTACAATGTAATTAATTTTACCTCTACTATCATTATGACTCACAAGAGTCCCATCGTTTTGATGAAAAAGTGATAAATTTAAATTTATCATCTGCAACGGCACTGATGAACTTCTACCAACAACAATATCTACATATAACTCAATAACATTTCTACTACATTGTTGTTGAAATGCACTTATTATGCAGTCAATATCCTCATCATCACATATATTCAAAGCTGTATACTGTCTAATATTTTCATCAATAAAAAAATGAGAAATTAATCTAGAAATGGCTTGATTATGATTAAGATTAAGTTTCAAATGAATTTTTCTTTTCAATGCTTCAAAACTTATTCAACGCTTTATCTGAATCATTTTCTTACTTCCTTCAAAACTTACTCCTTCATCTCCTTCATAGATTCTACCATTCCAATATAGAATAATAACAATCCCATTCATCCTGCATTTTTACAATTAAACTTTATTTAATATTTAATTTTTACAAAAATTAACATAAAAAATTAAACAATACTCATTCATTAATTTAATAATTTATTTAATTAAAAATAACTAATTTAATAATTTAAAATTTAAATAATAAATTTATTAAATTAAACATACCTGGTTTTCTTCAAACTTGCTATTCTTCGATGAAAATGAGAGGTGCACAAAGTGGGTATATATAATGTTCAAATTTTGCCACATTATTTGCAAAAATTTTTAAAAAGGAGAACATGGCAGGTAGCATGTGTTTCGCAGAATGATTGGCAAAATAACTGATACATTTTCGCCATTGAATTTGTGAATTTAAAAGATGTTGACATATGTCATGATCTTAATTATTTCACCAGTCCTATGGCAAAATTCAAAAATATTTTTGCCACCAAATGTGCGAAACTACTCAAGACACGACACGTGTTGCTATACTTAAATTTTGCACTCTTATGGCGAAATTTAATTAAAAAAAATAAAATTATGAAATGTTTAGCCAGCTACTTTGGTGAAATCTTTTGCCATGTGGTCAAAAAATTCCAGACAAAAAAATAGTTTAAAGTTAACCCTAAATTGATAATTTATTTTTTAATTTACAATATTAAAATAAAAAAGCCATATTCTTTTAGAGTAAATTTTTCTTACACTACACAAGTGTTTCACTTTAAAATAAGCAAACACACATGTTATAAATTAATAACAATATATTAAAAGGATAAAGCTATTAAATTCAGAAAAATATCATAAAAAATCAATAAAATCAATACATATAATCTAAATTGATGTTATATTAAATTTAAATTGAGATAATAATAATTTTAAATTTTAAAGTAAATTTTCAGTTTTTTATATATTATATAGATATTAAATAATTAAAATATATTTTAAAGTAAAAAATAAATATATATTATATTATTACTTTTCAATTTAATAATTTTTAAAAAATAATTATTTAATTAATAATAGTCAATATTTTTTATATTAAATATAAATAAATTAAAGAGATAAAAATTTTAAAATTTTAAATAAATTATAAAAAAAATTTAAAATTTAAGTGCCAATATATTTCATAAGACATAATGAGAAAGATAATTAATTTTTAAAATTACATTTATTTAATATTTCTTCTCTGAAAAAAAATCTTATCTAAAATGAGGATTTTATATAGGGAAGTATGTTATATAAGTGTTTAAGAAAAATATTTAAAAATGATTCTTTGATGAAAATGAAAACAACTTAATAGATCAGTTATTAATATGTGATGTTACATAAGACTAATTTAGCACTCGTTTCGGGCAATTAACGATTAGGGAAAGGAAAAACTCCCCCTTTCTCTCGACATCAAATAGCATCTTAATTTTATGTTCTCTTTAGATTTCTGATATTTTTCCATTTTATCTTCAATTTTAATTTTCTTTAGATCGACGAGCTACACATTATTTTTTTTACTAAATTTTTTGTATTAGTTTTCCCTCTTTTCTTTTCTTTTTTTCTTAATTATGTAACAATCTTAGTCCTTTTAACTAATATAATATTTTCATTTGACGTCTAACTAATAAATAAATAAAAATTATTGTATTTAGAGAATAAAAGAATATACTTGTAATATTTAGAGATATTAAAAAGAAAGTGAAAACTAAAATTTAATAATAAAAAAAAAAGAAAACAGAAGATTAGTAAAAAAATATTTTATGAGCGATCACTTGTTTCAAAAATTAAAAAATAAATAAGAAAAATGCAAAAATTGATAGGAAAAAGCTTAATTGAAATCTTTGGTTGCACATTAATTAAACGCAAATATGAGGAAGTTGATAACTTTTCAAATTTCCCAGTTTTAATATCCTTTACGACTTTAGTTTACATCAGCTTTGCAAGTGATTTCCATATTTCCACGTGGTTTCAACCATTTTTCTCATTCCTCCAATGCCTTTAATGGTGAAGCATGAGGACGTGGCATGCACTTGCCCAGGTTCATGCCTTGAATCATTTTTTCATTCTTTTCCTATGATAATGTTCTGATTATTAACTAGCTTATTATTATTATTATTATTATTATTATTACTTTATTTATTTTTAATTAAATATTATATACAAATTTTTAAAACTCTATCAATTTAAGGTAACTCTGATTTTAAAAGTTATCAATTATGGATACCATTTATTAACTTATAATTAATTTGCATAAAAATATAAAATAATAAACTATATTTGAAATTACGACTTTAAAAGCAATCACGCTTCTGATCAAATTCATCCTAAATCAGTAAATTTTTTAAAACTTACGCTATTGTAATAATTTTAAAATTAAATTCTACTAGAATGACAGAAAGAAAAGTTTCCATGTCATGACCAACATATTTCATTTTCATAAAAGATTGTTACCATTTTTTTTCTTAATTTTTTCCTTCAATTTTAGAGCTGTTTTGTGTTTATTTTCAGACGGTGTAGTTCTCGAGAGGTAATTTTATATTATAATTTATGAATGACAATATTCAACGTATAGCAAATGGCCACTTAATCGGCTTTTTATTTTCTAGGTTTTCTAATCTAACAAATTACTTTTCAAGTTTCAGGATATGAAAGCTCTTTCTACCAAAAGAAATTGAATTATGAAGTTTATGTAGTTTTAACGAACTTGCAATTAGTCGAATTGGTGATTGAAATATTTCTTTCTAATATTATAGTGAATATTTTGGTTTATCACTTTTATGTTTTGGTCAAGTGGTTGAATGATTTTTGCAATGTAACAGATATTTACAATGGAGGTTTTCGGGGTTAATTTATCCTTATCTTTTTCGTTAAGGCTCCAATATTTTTAAAACAAAATAAAGGGAAGAGTTTGGTCCTTTGAATTAAGTTATTTGAGTTAGTAAGTTGTTTTTAACAAGCACATTAAAAAAAAGATAAATGCAATAAAAAACTAAAAAAACACAATATTTGCAATAAAGGGTAGTGTATTGTGTTCTTTTGACCTCCCTTTCACTTTATTTTGAGTGAAATAAAATGTAAATGGAACGAAACTCCTTATTTTACATTATATTAATGAGTTGGAGCATATGTAACTAAACACTTTTTATCCAATTATTGGAACTTGTTTAACAATGCCATCTTTATTTACCCAAACCCAAACCCTATCACATCGGAAGTCAAAGATGACCGATGATCCTTCTGGCACAATCATAGCATTCACCAAAGGATTCTCCCTCTCAATTGTAGCCTCCGCCACCGTTCCTTCCACTCCAACCAGCTCAGGCCATGAGCTCTTACCTGCGCACAATTTAAGCCTCTAATTATGAAACTCAGAGACAATCATCACAGTATATTTCATATAACCCATTTTTACGTCATAAGAGAGAGAAAAAAAAGGAAACAAAAGAAAAATAAAAGTATTATACAAGTATAAGAATATTATTATTTCATTTATTAATCATAACTCATGTCATGCATTAACGTGAACGATCACTCTATATGTATACCTTTGCATTCAGACATACTTTTCTCCTTTCTTATAATTTTGTGTGTGTTATATAGATGCATTGCAATATGAGGGGGTATTTATAGTTGTATTTGGGTGGCAACGTTGTGAATTGCTGAACCGTGCATGTTTTACTAGTCTTATATTTGACGCTGGAGTTTGTAGTTAATCATACCGTCAAAATTTGTACAAATAAGAAATTGTCAAACTTTACAATATCACGCTATCAGTGTTTTTGTTTGGAACCCTTTGCTGCTGAACTGTGTTCAAATCTTTGCATGAATATTTAGTTTCTAATATGAGCTAAAATATTTATGTACGGCAACGGCATAAGTTTGACAAACAATTTGTGAGTACAAAATACGAAGACACTTTTTAAACTAATCTTCAAAGCCCCATTTTTCTTCTGTGCATGTCTACGAACAATTATTGAATAAAAATTTTCTTCGTAGTTACGGGTCAACTTTAAAGTTTTCCTTATAGTAAGAATCTCAGATTCTTATCTTTCTTATACTTATTTCATTGTTTGTACATGTACAAGTATATATGTTAATTATTTTTAATGAAATTTTAATATAATCTTAATTTTACAGATAATAACTTCTAATCAAATTTGAATAAATCTTAATTAAATTTCATAATAAAATTAATAAAATCTTAATATTTATAAATAAATATGAGATCCTCTTAAAACTCAATATTTTCTTGATCTTCTTAACTTAACTCGTGCTCTTATACTCGAACCGATATTAATCATTTGTTAAAACTTTTAAAAATAAAGTGTGTTGATTATTTTCTAATCCAGTATATTTCTCCTCTTTTAAAAGTTGTTTTTTCTGAAAATACTTGGATGATTCAATCCCAAGTTCGAAATCCCTACCAACATGTACGGACCGCAGAAGTTTGATAATCAACAACAAGGGCTTTATAAGTGTAATTAATGAACAAATGGAAAATATTGATTGCGGATTTGAATATTCTTCATTGACTCTGGATTTTCTTCCCTTCGATTTTAGTGTTTCTTTTGCCGTACGTATGACCAGTACGATAAATATTTATTCTTTAAATAATTTTTTCCATTCGATTTTTTAAAAAAATTTGTAATTAACTATTATTAATTATTGTTGTAAGATAAAGTGAAGCTATGCCATTGAAAGATTAACTATTTCTATAATTGGTTAAATTGGAAATCGAACTAAAATAAAGTTTGTTGATACTTGATAGATTATAAAAATATTATGTTAATATTATATAACAATTATTTTAATTTTAATTTTTTCAATATACACATTAAAAATACGCTGAAAAACATTTGAAACAACTGGTATTGTCCCATTTTTGTTATTTAAAATGTATTTCTCATTACGATGTCTTGTATTTTAACAATTGATTGAAATACAATTATTTCACGTATAATAGACTATAGAATACCTCCTTAACTCCCATAATACCATAAAATTTACCTCGAAATACAACTACTTATTTTACAAGGAGTTTAAAATTTAAATTGTTTACGTGAATGCAAATCGTATGAGCATGTTTAAATTTACTTTTAAGACTAAAATCTCTTAAGACTAAAGTCTCTTTTACCAATTTTTTGAGAGAATTAAATTTATATATAATTATATCTATTTTCACTTTTTATTTCTTTCGATATACACGAGTCTGAAAGATACTCTCCAAAATCAAAGGGAACATTAAAACTTATCTCAGAATAGTTGTGTAAAAAACAGTTTCATTTTAATAATAAAAGGCTAAACCAAACATGTCCTGTTCTTAGTGTGGGAAGCTTAGTGAGCAGTGGCCATGCAACAGTTTTGGCTTACAACTCTGAAAAGCCCGTGTTTGTAGTTGCCACTCTACATAGAATCTGAGAAGTACATAAAAACCTGTACAAAAGAACATACAAAAGATTTCTACTGTTCTTCTATATGAATTGAGGCATGGGTATTGGATAACACGGGGGTATGATGTTCATCATAGTTAACTAATTTTTGTAAAGAAGCCAAATCCAAGACGGAAATCAACTCTTGACTGTTGCAAATTATATATCATGTGTGTCTAGTTCTCTTGCGACGAGAAGGCTTATTTGCCATAACATCCTTTGTAGAACTAGTAATATCTTTTTGAGGATCTTCATCACTTTTATCATTATCACTTTCTTCATCAAAACTCTCCGTTTTTTCTGTGTCTTCCTCTTGAGGAGATTTCTCAGCATTCTCTTGTTTTGACAGCTTATCTCGAAGCTCTCTTAGTTTGGATTTCTTAGAATTTAAGACCCCCAGAAACTAAGAAAAACAAACAAATGCAAGATCAGCCCCGATGATTGGTTGGAAAAAGGAAAGAAGAAATAAATATTGACACAAAATCATCCTTTCCACCACTAAAGTTAGGCCTCAATAACCAGATATTGATGAAAGAGGTGCCCTCCTACAATTGAGTTGTTCAATCAATTTATTTACTAATGCATGTTCCCAGTCATGACTTTTTTAACACAATAATATCAACCATTCTACAAGCTGTCTGGAACTTGGTGCACTCATCGGAGGTAACCGTTTTAGTATCTTAAGATAAAAAAAGAAAAAGAGAAACGTGTGGTCTAGGCAGAGACGCCATGCCAAAAGATAATCAACAACGTATAAGCACATTAATATTAAGTGTATTAACGTTGCTCGAGTTTTTGTTGTAGTAGAGAATAACTAAATATTTTTTGTTGGAAATTTATAGAAATTTTAATGAAGTTGTCTTCAACCAAACCTAATCAAGGAAAAGGCACCAAAATACTTGAGATACAGTATAAGAGTTTCTAAGAGAAAACTGTTTCATTTATGTCATTGATAACCAATGTTTGGTGGTCACCACATAAATATTTTGCAAATTAGAATTTTACATTTGACCTTTTCCAGACACTGCAATAATTTTGGTGCTAGGCTTGTATACTGAGCCAGTATATTTATTATTAAATGACCTAGTTTCTAATTTATTCTAATGTGGTTGCCCAAAATAGGGGAGCTGCAGGTATAGTTTTGGGAAAATTAGATCCTTGTTCAATGGAAAGCTAAGGAAATTTGAGAGAAAAGAAAAAGATCAGCATGGAAAGAGGGGAGAGAGAACCAGAAAAGTAGTAATCTTAAATAAGTTTTCAGACCTTGCATCCAAGTACTGGCACTGTCTTATTCAGATATTTTGCTTCTTATCATGATTGTATAATAAGAACACCTACAGAGTTTTTTGTCTATTAAAACTAATATAGTATGAGTCCAATAAGTAAAATTTATTCAAGCTATATAATTTTGAAAGCATAAGATGTGCTTAAAGTATTCAAAAGCTCAGAAGTTAATGGGAAAAAACTTGGCAATGAATAAAGGGGACACCCCACACTCAGTTGCTAAGCCAATTATTTTACTTTTTAAGGATATATAACTAATAAGAGGTAAATAAGTATACATGTTATTAAAAATATTTATAAAAATTATTATCATGAGAAAACAGAAAAGACTCATGCACAAAGCTATATAAAGCAGCCACTGACAGCTAGTTTACCATTACAGCAACAGAAAACCAACAAGATAACACAACTCAATTCATGCCTCTGATGGGCTATCAATCACCAAAATCTTGAACATGTCAAGTAGAAATCATGTTACCATAAACTTGTGATTTAGGAACTCCATATACAGTTAAGAATGGCTAAAATAGAGGGAAGGTATCAATTAGTTCAATCAATTCATAGCTTCACCAGTCTATCAGGACCTACCTACCTTCCTTCTGGACAGTGGACACAGCTGAGGTATGCTATGCCAGGAAACTAATTGGGATTGAAATAAAACAACCACAAAGTAAAAGTTGAAAACCTACCTTCGCATAGATTTCAGATTCAAATTCCACCCTCTCATTGGCGATTCTCTCACTCTGAGTTAAGCATTTTTCTGCTTCTGCTTTCATCTTCTCAAACAATTCAGTTTTTCTGACAACTTTGTCCTGTACATGCATAGAAACAACATGCCTAACTATGATGTCCAAAACTAAAGAAAAGGGAGGAGGGTCCCATGTACCTACCCTATTCCAATGCTATTCAATGATGAATTGCATATACACCCAACAGGATTTGAATAAGTGAGAAAGACTTTCCCTGATACTGTTGTTAAGAAAGGGTAATAAACCCCATAGATTCAAGCAGATATCGATTGCCTTGTGTATAAAACCTGTTAAGGCAGAAATTGAGTGCCTTATGTACGCAGCATTGCAGCCTTATTCCACAAACAGAGAGGAGGTTTGTAGGATTTGAATCCGTAACCTCTAGGTCACAAGGCAGCAATCCTACCATTGTGTCAGGGATTGCCTTCATAAATTCAAGAATATGCTAGAAATATTATAAAAGTAAGATTGAAGAATTTATATCTTCCCTGATTCAGTTCTAGCTAACTTTTTCTGCTTAGCATCTTCTCAAGATTAGAATCAAGAATGAGTAACAAGAATGCTCTTCAGACTTTCAATAAAACAATGATTTCTCACACAGAACAGAAAATATAGATTGAGTCAATGAATATAATCACAATGGAACAATGATATGCTCATATGCAAGATTTTACCATTTCATGCCGTTTCACATAAAATAAAGAATATCATAAATGACAAGGCAGGCTTTTAGACTCCTGTTTCACCTCATTGAACAATAGAGTCCCATAAACTATTCATTACCTGTGATCATCCCCTCCCATATATTTAGATTTTCTACTAGTTGCTAACAATTCTAATAGGGTAGTACTTGTATTAAAAAACATTGCAAAGCAGAGTAAAAGTTAATCAGAATATTACATTTAACTTTATGTTTGAATCCATGAGAAAGTCCAATATCTGTGCAGTAGTTTCCTTACAATTAGGAGACAGCAAGCATTTCCATCTCCAAAGCAGAGGCACTCCTTCTTTCTCAAACGTCCACGACAACTGCAACATTCATAATCATATCAATCACATAGACAATAGTAACAGTATAAACCCAAAACTCTCTCTCTCTATCCACCTAATTTTCCATGTTCTCCTTCGCACAATATTTAACATAACGGTGGGTTAGTTAGTTACCCTCTTATGGCCATCACCAGCATCATCAAAGGCATATACAGAACCAGGTTGGTGAAGTTCCAAATAGCGCTCAGACAAGTGCAAATACTCTGAAACTGGTTGGTCCCACTGAGAAGCACGCTGCTTCACCTCCTCCTCCGAAGCTTACAATTCAATAAATCAAAACTTTGATGATTGTTTTGGCATGAAATAAAAAACGGGTAACTGAATATAAGAAAGGAATGAAAAGGGTAGGTTTGGTTATTACCGCGGCAGTACCAAGCAGCGAGGCCATCGGTGATGGCAAGGTGGAAGTGGGTGGGAAACCAAGTACCCTTCACGAAAATGGGTTCAGCATCAACGTTGCTATGACTATTTCTCGGAATGAGGAGCTTCAAGCACGTGTGTCTCTCTCTTTCTTCCTCCATTATCATTGGTGACTCTCCGATTCAAAACCCTGCCATTGCACCGCTCCTTCAAAGCTGCTCACAACTCTCATGTGATTGCTTCCGTTAAAGTCAGGTCAGGCCCTCAATAAATCAGTTTTATTATATATTTCTTAATAAAAGTATATTTAACATTTTAAAAATATAAAAATTAAAGGAAACGGTGGTAAGTGCCAAAATACTCCTTGTCGCTTTAAAGAAAAATATAGGCTCACAAGGATATATATTGTATTAATATTGAATTATATTTTAATTAAAATTAACATTTATTTTAGTAATCATTTTTTATAAGTAGTCATTATTAAAATAAAATGTTGATTTTAATAACAAAAATATAACCAGCAATTATTTTTTTTTAAAATTCAATCAATTTGTTATTAGTAAAATTTGGAAAAACTTCTTACTTTTTCTGCGTAAAATAGAACCTCCTACTTAAATTTATCTCTATATAAATAGGTAAAGCTATTTAGAAAATGAAACACTTTCAAATTTAAAAATCAGTAATGCAAAATGTTAAAAGCCGACTATTTATTAAAAATAAATAAAAGAAGAAAGACAAATAAATAATATTAATCGATAAAATGTGTATAAAACAAAACCAACAAATTTTTTTTATCTTTGGGTATTTTCAAAATACTTTGTAATTTAAGGTAAATGTCTTTTAAATAAATAAAAATGAAAGAAAGTAAGTTGTTAAAATTATTTTTAAATGATTAAAACATTAAGTAATATGTATTTGATTTTTCTTAGCGTTTGGAGCTACTTATAGCTGATTCTTAATCTAAATTACTAACTTTTATTCAGCAATAAAGTTATATATATATATATATATATATATATATATATATATTGTTCATCAATCTATTTTCAAATTTAATTAACTTCCAAAATTCAAAGTTGATAGGTTTTGTTTGGTGGGTAATAAAATAATATTGTTTTGTCTCTTGCAAGAACTTTTTTTCATGGAATGCATTATAGTACTAGTAAAGTGATGGTTGCACGTGAAGGAACAAAACACGTGCAAAGGAATCTATAATTGCTGGTGATGAGTGGCGAGTGGCTGATGATGGGAACAACACTACCTCAAAAATGGTTCCCTCTGTAGTGCTACTCTTTTTCAGCATCTCCTTCTCTGCAGTTTCAGCTCATCAACATGAACACGATGACCCTTCTTCCATCACAGCCACCATGGAACAATTCTCTGGTTACACAATCCACGAGCCTCACTCTTTCCAAGCCGCTTCACTCTCCGTTGATGCTCAGGGTCTGCAGAACCAGGTGCTCAATTATTGTCACTGTTATTCCATCATGTCACGGAAATTCTGTGACTGGGTTATGGCGTGTTTTTTGTTTTTGGGTTGCGATGATTGTTTCCTGACACTTTTAAGTACCGTACATTCTTGCTCTTAGATTGACGAGCTCGCAGCATTTTCTGACTCACCTGCTCCGTCGGTAACCAGGGTCTTGTATACTCAGAAGGATGTTTTAGCTCGCAGGTATGTATATGTATGTGTGAATAAAGTTTATATATTTGTGAATTTTATTATGATGACAAGGATGAAAAGAAGACTGAGCAGGAAACTGTGCTCAATGCTCATGTCAAATTGTCAAGCCCACAACTTCTCACATCATATGCCATATGATGCTGTCTTTTCTGGCACTTACTATTTATATAGCAAAATATCATAAAATGGATGCATGTGCATGTACGGATCGATCAATTGGTAAATGAAAGCAAATGCTGTGTGGATAGCCCTTTAAGAAACTAAAGAGGCCATTAGTGTGTAGAGCTGTAAGACTTGTGGTTTTGTGCAAAAGACTAGTGTTCATGTAACAATGCATAGATGCAAAAGTGAACTTATGGTGCATAGCATCACCTGTAAATAAACTATTCAATCTGCTACAAATGTGTGCTTGACCTTATTACTATTTGAATGCAAGATGTCTGCCTTTATAGACTTCACTCTTGTCTTCTATCTGTAGGTATGTGAAAAACCTGATGGAACTTTCTGGTCTGTCAGTGAGAGAGGATGCCGTTGGTAACATATTTGGTCGTTGGTGAGTGTCTGTTTGTTCCTCACAAGCTTTCCCAACAAAAGATTATCCACAAATTTCTGACTCAATATTTACATTTTATAATTGCCACTCCCTGATATATAAATTCCTGTCAATTTGTCATTGACTGGGTCTTCAAGCTCATATTAACATCAGAATCTTCCTTATCTTAGTTAAAGTGTGCCTGTAATTTACTAACTACACTTACCGCATTATCTTTGCTTGCTTGATGAAGGGATGGAAAAGAACCCGGGCTTGGTGCAGTTGCAACAGGTTCGCACATTGATGCTATACCGTACTCTGGAAAGTATGATGGAGTTGTCGGTGTTTTAGGTGCCATTGAAGCCATCAATGTCCTGAAAAGGTTTTTGACTTTTCTTATTATTGCTGATGTTGGACTTAATTGAATATTCAGAAGACAAAAATTTTAATTGTTATCTATCTTCTGATAATCAGAGAGCAAGCTTGGAAGTTCAGCACCTTGTACTCTTAATGTATTTCCAATGTTTGGCATTTGTTTCTGCACAAGTTATTTCAAATAAAGAACTTGGGATATAAATATAGCAGTTTAGCCCAGTGAAAATGAAGATATTTATGTCTCTTGTTACATTACTTTTGAACATTAAGGCCTCAGAGATAGTGAATCAAGACAAAGCTAGCTTATATTTCTATTCAATAAGTTATTGTAAAATATACCTCTAGTGCAAGAATTTGTCAAGTTTGATGACTTGAAGTTTGACTAAAGCAGTATCAACAGACTGTTGTGTTGTTGATGGCTTGATGTTTAACAAACATATTATAGGTCTAAACCATTTTAGGAACAACGCAATAAGGTATGCAGTCAGAATACTCTGGAAAATAACGTGGTATCAATGTATACAATTATATAGAAATGAGAAGTTCCAAATTTCCAATGGTAATTAATTCTTGTGTGTGTAGATAGATAGGTCTAAATTCCCAAAGATGTGATTTACAGTGTCCAGTCACAGTCACTATCAACTTCTGTAAGGAGTAGTAATTTTTTGTTATTGATTAACACCTTCACAGGTCTGGTTTTAAGCCTAAAAGACCTTTGGAAGTCATCTCTTTCACATCAGAAGAACCGACACGCTTTGGGATAAGTTGCTTGGGAAGGTCAGAAACTGAAGTTATACTGTCTCAGAATAGGACTCCTACTTGTGGCTATGTTTGTCAATAAATCAATAATTCATTTTTATCCTCTAAACTTGTGGTATTATACAATTTCTGATCAACTAAGTTGGATCCTGTATTCTACTTTAAGTTTCATCATTTGTTACTTTGTGCAGCCGCTTATTGGCCGGGAGTGAGAATCTTGCAAATGCTTTAAAGACAACCACTGACAGTCAAAACGTATCCTTCTTAGATGCTGCAAAATCTGCTGGTTATGCAAAAGATGAAAATGATTTATCCAGTGTATTTTCAAAGAAAGGAACATATTCTGCTTTTGTAGAACTGCATATAGAACAAGGACCTATTCTGGAAGATGAAGGTACACATCTTTGGGGGCTAACATAATATTTGCATAGCCATAACTTCAATGATCAGATGTAATATGTTTCATGATGCAGGTATATCCATAGGCATAGTTACTGCCATTGCAGCTCCAGCAAGCCTAAGGGTTGAATTTGAAGGCAACGGTGGCCATGCGGGCGCCGTCCTTATGCCTAACAGGTGGCTGCCATCTTAAAACAGGCATTCTTTTCTTTTGTTGTATTGCATCCTTATCCTTTGCTGTTGTGGTAGTACCTTGAACTGTTAACACCTCTTTCTACAGTTTTCAGATCTTTGTTCTTTTCTTTTTTTTTTAATGTTATTCAAGATATTTCATGACTTTGAGTGAAAGAATAGTAGCATATTATTTTTTAATTCCGTTATATTTTCTAGTTTACTTGTTGAAATTGAAATTTCTTAATAAACTTTAATGCTGTAAATACAATTTATAAATGATAAATCATTTGGAGCAGAAATGATGCTGGTCTAGCAGCCTCTGAATTAGCCCTGGCTGTTGAGAAACACGTGTTGGAATCTGGATCAATTGATACTGTTGGGACTGTCGGTAAGTTATTATTGAAGTACTTCAATCAATCTATAACTTTCATTTAAACAAACCCCTTTTGTTTTACAAGGTATCCTGGAACTGCATCCTGGAGCAATCAACAGCATCCCTAGCAAATCTCACATGGAAATTGGTATGTATTTACGAGACAACTTCAGTTTCACTTGGCATCCTTCAATTACAATGTTTGATTTAAAGTGGTTTTACCATGCAGTTGTTTCTTTATGTTCATTACAGATAATTGTTTAATTTGTTCCCTCTCTACCTGTGGATAATTCCGGTTACTAGTATTATATATTTGTTTGTACTTCATATAAATATTTATATTGTAATTATTCGTGTTGTCAGATACAAGAGACATTGATGAGGAAAGAAGAAACCAAGTGGTTGAGAAAATCCACCAATCAGCAATAAAAATAACAAAAACCCGAGGTGTCAAGCTCTCTGAGTTTCATGTCATCAACCAAGATCCACCAGCCCTCTCTGATGGAGCAATCATCAGGGCGGTAGAAGCTACAACAAAAGAACTAAACTTGACGAGCAAGTTGATGATTAGTAGAGCCTATCATGATTCATTGTTTATGGCCAGGTACTGCTGGAGAGAGAGAGGTGACAGATGGTTTTACATAAACAGATATTGGTTCCTTATGAAGTGCCCCCAAAAGATCCATTCTTAAATTTTCAAATGTTTAAATGTGAGGATAGGATCTAGGCAAGAAAAGCATTAATTTAGATAAGGTTCTCTAGTTCTCATGAAGTGGGGATAATGCACTATTGAAATATATTTGACTTCTTTCTATTTATTCAAGGACTAAACCTTGACTGAAAAAAGTGAAAAAAAATAAAAATGGTGAGGAATGGGTGGAAAGTAAAATTAAGGAGGAAGAAAGCTTTTTTTTTAGCATGCTAGTGAATGGGCTGAGTATCTTTTTGCACCCACCAAATTTGGCATTTTCTCACAATTTTGACTTTCACATTAATTGTATATATTTTAATCTTTATAGAATATTGAGATTCTTATTATGTTAGGAGTCTTGTCATGTGGACTTTTTTGGCTGGTCTCTGTACTTGTAGTATTACACTGGTTCTTGACCTTATTATTACGATGAATAGGTGTTTAGTGTTTTCTTTTTTGGACACTTTGCATCATTCCACTATCCTACCTTCAGAAGAATATTCTTGACAGCCTCCTCTCTCTCGTTTCATCCTTTTCCACCATACCCTTTAATTTTAATGCTTCAAAACATTCTGACAAGCTAAAAAGACCTTCATTGTCAAAGTTTAATCTAATGATATTGTTGTTACAAGAAACCATACAGTGGTTTGCTCTCAGGTGAATTGAATATATGCTGCTCATGTACATTATATAATTGCAGGTTGTCTCCAATGGGCATGATTTTCATTCCATGTTACAAAGGTATTAATTTTTTTTTTTTTGGTGCTATGTGTTTTAACCTGATACCACTTTCAGAATCATTTGTGCAATAAAAACCCCGAAGAAAGGGAACAAAATGCAGATTTTGTGCATTTTATAATAAATTTAAACTTTAATTAAAGCATCAACAGTGATTGAAAAGTAGAGCGCTAATCTTATGTAAGTAGCCATCCAATTAATGAACTTAGAATTAAGAAACATTGCATAATTCTTTTTTGGTGTTGAAGTAGACATGGAAAAATTACTCATTCTATCCCTCCTCAATGTTGAGAGGGGGTGGGGGACTCAATTTGACTGAGTTCAGGGTTGGATTTTCCCAACATGTAAAATGAAGGGCAGGGGTGGATTTGAAGATACAGATATGAAGCTTGAACTCTAACCTGATCCTGTCCCAATAATACTTAAACTATTAAACTAAAAGTTAAATCATAAAGTTGAGTCTATAGGGGTTTGGGGACAGCAAGGACGGAAAGCCTCCATTGCATCACCTTGTTGCTATATATTCACATGCAAGTGGACGTGGCTTCCAGTTTCCAGTTTGATGAAGTTGAATAATAATAAGCAAAAATATGTATTTTTTCCTTACAGCTTTATAGAGAAATGGTTTTATCCATATTCTTGCTCTTGCTTTTGCAGGGTACAGCCACAAGCCTGAAGAGTTTGCCACCATTCAGGACATGTCAAATGGTGTAAAAGTATTGGCACTCTCGCTAGCCAAATTGTCCAGTCAGTAACATCTTCTGTAGTGAGTTTGTGTGGACTAAAGTTGTAGAACAAGGACATGTAATTTCCTTCTGTTCAGCTTAATGATTATATAAGTTTAAATTTTAGATATACCTCCTTTTGTCTGTCAAAGTGAGAGGTGGACCTTGAACCATCCGATATGAAAAATGGGTCTATAAGGAACACTTTTTAGAGGAGTAACATGATTACTGCCTATGGAAGGACTCACAGCAGTGAATTTTACTTCACCAGACTGCACAAAAGACAAAGGAACTACTGAAATTATAGAATCCAGTTGCATATACCCCAACCAAAAGAGCATTTTAATATCTTACTTGTTGGACCACTTTGCGTTCTGAGAAAAGACATCTTACTTTTCTCAATTATCCACACATTGCGTTTCAAAATCCCACCTATGATTACAATAGCTGAAATAATAAATAAAAGTGATTAGAAAATGAGAAAAAATGCAAATATTTTAGTTGGGTAGTTGGAGTAGCCTTTTTATGGATCCTTAGAGTGGGGGAATGAAGTTGAGGGTTTTGCAAGTGCTTGTCCTAGAAGAAGGAAGGAATTGAATCTAGGATGCAGATTAAAGTTAGCGTGCTTAGGGTGCAGTTTTGCTCTTGGCCATCTCTATGCTTAAGCTGTGGAGAGATTCAAGAAAATACACCAGCTGAGTTGTAACTCTCAAACCACTGACTTTTACAATGGACAAAACATAAGTATAATTTTTTAGCTATTTTTGAAGTTATTTTTCATTTTAAATTAATGTTTTCTTAACCCGTGATAACATTAAATACGGTTAGATGAAATTTTAATTTTGATTGAAAAACATCAAAAGCACTTCAAGAATAACAATCAAGTTTTGTTCTTTTTTTTTTTTTTTAATACAACTTATTTGACTTTATAAACAATTGCTTTCAATGTAGGCTATATATTATTTAAGGTTATTAAGCATATTTGTTCAGAACTTATTACTGTTTATGTATTATAATGACTTGTCAAAATAAAAATATGGTAAAGCCGTTTGAACTCTCAAATAACCTCTTAGATACTTGTGCTGAAATATATATTTACTCATTTTATTTCAATATGTTTAAATTGGTTGCAAGACAAAAATGAATTGCAATTTTTTGCGGACATCATTTTCTTTTTTAATAATGTAAATTTTTAATATTCAAAGAAATTAATGCACTCATTTCCTGGGAAAGCTTTGCTATGCCCTCAACGAAAATGCAATGCTAACCACAGAATTGACTGGCCAGAACATGATAGACACTTCTTGTCATGCCCTCTATACTTTTCAATAAGCATGCACTTCCTAGGAAAGCTTTGCTCCTTTTAATGCATTCATTTAGGGTGTGATTGGTTTTGTCTGGACTCTGTTTCACGAATGTAAAAAAATATCATTGCCACCTAACATCTTTTGTATTTCTGGTATCGTTTATTAAACTAAGAAACAGACAGGTCCTGAAGTTCGGAATGTTTGGGAAAAAAAGTCTATATGGGTGAAATTCAAAGTTCGTGTTTGTTATATACATTAGACATTAAATAAGATGTAAATGATTTATGACTGGAGACAAAATTCAAAAACTCTACTAAAAGTAAAGCTCAAATATAAAGAGTAACGCCTTTAAGTTGAAAATTCAGACCTAAGCTAGAGAGTATTGCATGGTTAATATGGACGTGGACTGGGCTTTGAATGAATTATTTATGATATAATAAATTAGAAGAGGGTGTTGGGCATTTATCGAGGGGTTAAGGAGGAACAGTCAAGGATAGGGTCTAAGCAATGGTTTAGATGGGATGTCTTTTCTCTAATTGCTTTTCTGCAAAGACATTAGCATCATGATTTGGTTATCCTCACTGGTCACCATGAATGAGTCTTAAGATATGCTAATTATTGTAAAGCTGTCAATATAAGAAAGGTTTGGGCCTTTAATTAGTATATTGAGATATGCAAGCGTACTTAGCTGGACTGAGAGAGACACTTTTGCTTACTGAGATACAATTGAAATAAGTATGTGTGAATATACAACTAAAACAGACAAAATCAATTAGTATTTTCTCCATGTTGAATGAGATTATAACAACTCCTAATTATCTAATTACATTTTAAATTTGATTTATAAATTTTTTTATACACTATCTTTCAATAATATGTAGTAGTAAATTAATGTCAAAACAATGTTAATAGTGATATTTGAGTAAGTTACTTAATTTACCTTAACATATTGAGAGATATATATATTTTTAATTTTATATAAATTCAGTAACTTTTCTCTAATAATATAATTTTAGAAAATTTTAACCTTTTGGTCTTATCTATTGTAATGAATTACCAGTGACATATAACTTAAGTATCTAAAAGAAACCTTTATAATTAAGCATTTCCTTATGTTTTGTCCTACCTGTCATATTTTATTTCATTTGTGTCTATAGAACCTCTGTTTTTCTATCATTTATTTTTTTGGTCAGTCAGTTTTTCTATAATTTGAGCTCTATTATTTAATTTGTGTGGGGCCCGTTTGTTGTAATGAGATATGGTTTCTTAAATAAGAAATAATAACGTAATAAAAGTGACTACATAAAACACACTACTTAACAAAAAATGCTAAACAAGAACTAGAAATAAAATGCTCTTAAATAAAAATAAATAAATTTAAATTTTTTACATTATTTTTAACAAGAACATGTTAGTTTTTTCACTCGTCAATGACTTGTTCAAGAGATTTTTGTTTTCATGCAGTTTATTTTATTGGATGAATACTTTAAAAAATTGAAAAAAAAGTGCCATTACTTTGTTTTGTTCTTTGACTTGGTATTTTCACAAATGTAAATAAAAGGCTAATATTCGGGTGAGGTGATAATTAAATAAAACTCTTGATAGTTAGAATGGAAGTTTTTATTACTCATGACACCACTCTTTAATAGAATATATACTCATTTAATACTTAATAGAAACTATGTGGAAAGTATTAAAAGGAATTAGATCCTTTGTCACTCCTATCCATGTTGTTTATATGGAATTTAACCAACTGAAAAAGAAAATACTTAAAGTCGATAATAACGTTTTTATTTAGGAGGAACAACAAGATATTCAAATCTGTATTGATTATTGAAGAATTTTTTATATACACCTATTAAACGTGTGTTTGGACTTTCCAAATTTACTATTGTTTGATTTATGCTCTATACTTCTCATCTTGATTCTACCAATAAGTCTTAACTCTAAACTCAATCAGTTACATTTGAAAAGGATTGATTCCTAAGTTAGATGACTAATGATTCTGAAAAAAGATTTTGCACAAGTATTTTGTTACAACCAGTAATAAAAAGAAAAGACAAGCCAAAACATGCAATCATGTATCAAGACAGTAATATCCAATTGTAAAGACAAAAACAGAAGGGCCAATTATAAAGAAAAGGAAAAGGGAAAAAGAGGGTATTTGGCAGAATAATTTAATTTTATTTAAAGGATTTGTCTTATATTTGTATCAAGTGGCTTAAGAAAAGGATTATTTGTAATTCTTTATTATAGCAAAAGAATTATTTGCAATTTAACACCGTTAAGAAACGGCGTGTGACCGACGAGGCACATATAAAACGCGCTACAACACAACAAAGTACAGAACAAAACTCCAAACACAAACTCAAAACTCAAACACAACTCACACAGTTCCATTATTTGTTTCCAGATCCAACTCAAAATGTGAGTCATTCTCCCACTCTCCCTTTCCATTTCTATGATCAAAATGCACATTCTTTCTTTCTGAGATCCCTTAAAATCGTTGCTTCTGTGTCTGTGCTTTTTTTTTTAATTGCTAAAATTACTGACGCGTTCAATTATTGCTTTTATTTTTTTTTATTTTTTTTTATTTTCTGGGTCATTGACCCTTTTGGTTGATTTTTGCAATGGGGTTTTGTTTTGGTTTATGGGAAATCTGTTTGCATGTTGAAATTTGAAATCCATTTTTGTTCTTGTTTTTCTATTGGAAAGTGTTAATGTTTCAAAGGTTTTTTCCTTTTGGGTTCCTGGGAAGCATTTTTCACTTATAGCTTTTGCGTGGTTGGATCCAGTTTTGGAACAACAGTGTATCCGTTCGGATTTGCACCTTGAAATTTTTGTTTAAACTTAAAATATAGAGTAAAGAGGTTAGAAGCTCTTCACTGTGTGCGATTTATGTTTTAGATTGAATTTGTCGGTAACCAACCATATGTATTTTCTTCATTGATTTTGAAGGTTGAGAAAATTAGATGTGTTTGTATTTGTTCAAACCACATAACATGTTTTCCTTGAGATGATCTACTTGGCTATACTTTTAAAAAATGTGAATTTCCCTGCGATGCAGAGCTCTACCCATTCTCCTTCTTAACAACCATCTTTTTTCTCTGATATATGATGTCTTGTTTTGGATATAGTTGAGTTGTTGATTTTGAATTATTAGTCTAACGATTGATTGGAGACACCTGCCAATCAATTTGAATGCTTTCCTTTTGCATCTTTTAGTTTTTCTTTCGAGTGCTTTTAGGCCTTGAATTAGGTAGACAACTGATTCTATTCCTTATGATTTATGTTCAATAATTCACACATGATTCCTTACAAAATTTGTCATTCTTATTACTTTAGTTTTTTTAATAATCTTTTGCCTCTTGGTTTCACTTTTTGTTTGAACACGATTATTATGATTTCTAGAGAATATTCTTATGTTGCCTCGAGTTTATTCAATTTGTAAGTACATTTAGGCATGCTTGTTGTAACAGTGTTTATATATGTGTGTCTCAGAATATAGCTAGGGCTTAGGAGAAGATAGCACACACAATCAGTGAAGTTTGCAAAGTTAAAATGGAAGTTTTCTGGCAGAAAACAATAGTTTCAACAATAGTAGCACCTAGATAAATCTCAAAACAGTAGGTACAAAGAAATGGATAATAATAGATTATAGATTTCATGGTAGAACTTTTAGAACATCATTTTCTTACAACTTTTTTATTCTGCATTTTTCTTCTTTTTTTTCACAACTGTAATACCTTTGATGTAAATAAAGTTCTTATTTTAGTGGTTCAATGAAGGAAGCTTTTATATATAATACAGCCAATTGTAATTTTATTCAGTACTATTTTGTTGAATCATTTTAGTAAAATTTCTAATAACAAGTAGTTATTAATCAAATTATATCTTTATATCCTTTCGGAAGCATTCTATAATATCTATTTCAACCTTAAAAATTCAACTGTAGACAATTGAGTAATTTGTTTAGAGAGATTCTTTGTATCAGGCTAAGTGCAGATTTTTTTTGGGGTTATATTTTCTTATCTTTCTATCCAAAAATATGTAAATCCAAACCTCACCCATTCAATCATTTATGTATTTATTTGTGAAAGCTTGTACAATTTTTATCTTATGTTTTTGTCAATCTGTACAGAACTGTATAACAAACTATGCTGATGATTTGTGGCATTTCAATCAAATCAATTTAGTTCTGACATTTCTTTGCTATAGTGCAATGGGAATAGAAGATACGGATATTTGTATCATCAAGGAGCCAGATCGTGTTGTAGTTTATTCCGATGGTATTTCCCATGATTTAGGTCATGAAACTGGAAGTGATCATCACAATATTACAGAGTCTTATGAGCAAATCAATGAAACTACTGAACATCATAGTTCAGAGGAGAGCACAAAGGAATATGAGGTGAAGGAATGTACAACAGAAATATCTGTTAAGGCCTCTGATATCTCTAACATTAAGAAAAGTGAGGAGAAGTTAACCTCAGATTTCGAGGGTGTCCTCAGTGAGAAAAGTTTAAAATCCCACAAAATAAGGGGTAATCACAAGCAGCGAGATACTGTGAAGCATGGATCAAGACCTGCTGTTGGAAATCTCCATAGCAGGGGCACAGGTAGTGTCCAAATCAAGCCCACAGTTCCACAGCCATTTTCCCTTGCAACTGAGAAGCGTGCTTCTGTTGGAACACGTCCTGCTTTTGAAGAAGATAGCAAGGGCAATAACGAGAGAAAATTTTTAAATAAAAAAAACGTGCTATCTCCCAATATGGTTAAACAGAATCAGGTAATATGCTGATGTTGAATTTTGTTATATTTGTGGAAGGTTGAAAGAAAACCATTTATTAGTCTTCCAAAAGTATATTGTCAGGGAAGAAAAGCTTTGAAGTTTTAGATATCCCAAGTTCCAAACAAGATAGCCCAAACTTTTGATGCCTACCCCATTAAGAGGTTATGCAGATTGCTAACATAACCATCTTATAACTGCTACAAAATTGCAATTTAATGAAATTAAATTTGACTTGTCTAATTCATTGCTAAACATTTTGTGGATAATTTTGTCTTATTACTATTTATTCGCAGTTAGTCTTGAAGCTTTTGTTTTGTCTGCTTGCACCTTGCAGTTGAAAGCTCCTTTGGTTTCAAGAAAGCCATTGCAACCTGATAACAAGAAGCATCCTGATGAGGACGATTCTTGTTCAGTTGTTTCTATGTATCCTCTTAAGTGTTTCAGTTGAAGAGTCAAATTATCAACTTATGTTTTTCTTACTTTTGGAAGTGATTCATCTACTTCCTTTTAGAATTTGAAATTGATATTATTCCTTGACCATTTAAAGAACTGAAACTTCTCTTCAGTCAATCAAGTCCAGGGCAACTGTTGCTTCTGCTCCTGTGTTCCGGTCCACTGAACGTGCAGAAAAAAGGAAGGAGGTAATGACCTGTTTATTAGTTAGTTTTGTTTGAATATGTTTTTCACTTTTTCTACCTCAAATTGATTGGCGCATGGGCCCTTCGATAGTTCTATTCAAAATTAGAGGAAAAGCACCAAGCAATGGAAGCTGAGAAGAGTCAAAGTGAAGCAAGGACCAAGGTACACACCACTTTTTCAAGTATTTTCAAAACCAGGAACACATTGCCACGGTTACTTTTTTCTTCCTTGTAAGCTCATAAATTAGTTTTCTCATTTCAATTCCATTATCAACTTCTAAACATTTAAGGAAGAGATGGAGGAAGCTATCAAGCAGCTAAGAAAGAGTTTAACGTTTAAAGCAAACCCTATGCCAAGCTTTTACCATGAGGGGCCTCCACCTAAGGTTGAATTGAAGAAGGTTTGTACTGTTCTTATACTTTTATAATATCATGTATGAGGATCAGTTATATCATCCAAAAATAATGTAGAGTTCATGTTAAGATCTCAAAGCAAATTTTATCAACGGTAACTGAAGAACAACACATTATAATTATAAAAGATCTAGTTATACATGTAACATGTAGACATATTCTTCAACTTCTGTGCATGACAAAAGTTGAGTATCGTGTTTGGGCCAGCTACCACCAACGCGTGCAAAATCTCCAAAACTGGGCCGGCGAAAGAGCAACATTGGTGGTGTTAATTTATCTGACGGGCACAAGGAGAAAGGAGCTTCTACTCAGAGAAAGCATCAGACACTGAAGACCAACAACTATGATAGGAGTGATGTGAACGATGACAATGCCTTATGTGACCTGGAAAGCAAGACCAACCAAATTGAAGAAATTAATGTGAATAAACTAACTGGACAAGAGGACATTGAGATTTCCAGCCAGTCAAGCTTTCAGTGAGACTAGTTTCTCATTTTTTCTAATTTATATGTATCTTGGGACCGGGGTCTTGTTTCTCGCAACAAGCATGTTGTTCACTTTGTTTCCTTTAACTTACAAGCACTTGCTGCTGTGTGCATTGTGTAAGTAGTGAAAATGTTTATTTGTAATTTATTTAAACTTATTTGTAAAAGGAAATCTTGTTGCTCATAAGAGCTATTTAAGCATTTGTTTGTCTGCCTGAAGTCCGGGATCAGACGGTTTGAAGTCATCATCAAATAACGCTGTTCGATTAACAGAGTAATCATGCTTCATTCTTGCAATCTTTTGGCTACTTTTTCTCTTATTAACAATGCTATGTGGGGTTTTAATAGTAGGGTAGGAAAAGAAAAGATAGTGCCATAGCTATGATTGTAACCTCCAATTTTGTGGGATTCTATAAACACTATTGGCAACATGATGGAACCTTGTTTATGTTAAAATAATAGTGTCACTGAAGAAGTTTGAGTAAGAATAGACAAGTTAACATACAAGTGAAAATTACCTATAATGTAATATATGTTTAGTCTTTTTTGTATTTTCCAAGAGTTCAAAATTAGGGTTAGATGGTCATTTCCTTTCAGTGGCAAAAGTGACATTTGCTTACCGAGCCCATAATGCAACAGGAAGAATGTATAGCTAGGCTGAAGGAACCTAATGCTTGCTGCATTTGGGTGGGGCATCAATGCTAGTCGTTCGGGTAGAAAACACAAACAATTAAATGTCTATTGTTTTGATGGTTTTGTTTTTACACGGCAAAAGAGAGACCCTTTTGAACGAAACATATCCCATTTCTAAAAGCAATACTGCTGGTCAAAAGGGATGCTGCTTCCATAATTAGGTAGTTTAGTTTGTGGAAGGCTAGAAGCGTATGGTAAATGATGCTAACCCTTGTTTCATTCGGAATTTCTGTTCAAGAAAATAGCCTTAGAGCTGAAGAACTCACGAACTAAAAGTAAGTTATGCTTTTATAGTTGTATATTTAGTACTAGGAAAATCTAGTGACTATTATCGAAATGGACTACAAGTTACAACTTCATAGTTTAGTGGCATGAAATAATGATTCTATAAGGAATAGGATCATTCCATCGTTTGGGAGGTCCATCATTTGGGAGGTCATTTCAATTACTATATTTTATTTTTAAAAACAGAAAACTGTTCAGTGTTTTTTTCATATACTACTAGCATCTAATTTTATAATTTATTATTATTATTATTATTATTATTATTATTATTATTTAATCTTATCCTTTAATATTTTAATAGAAATCCTCCTTTAAATTCACATAATTAAAAAAAATCAATCTAAATTCCCATTACTATCCCTTTCCAAGTTACTACTGTATCCACCTGCACAGTACCAACTCGTTCCGTTAAGATCTTAATTTTTATAAAAATATGATACTATTTTTGAGTTATTTTTTCTTTTTTTTTTTTATCATTATGCTTTATTTTAATTATTACACTATTTATATAATTTATTTTATCTTTTTAATAAAAACAGGTGATCTTTAAAGAATAAATTATAAGAGTTAAATATTAACAAAAAAAAAACAAACATAAAACTACATATAAGTATTGGGGGGTTCCTTTTAATCTAAATTCCATATATGTATTAAGATAGTGTTGCATTGTATCCGGAGTGGATAGAGAATTAGATCCTTCTGACTTGGTCTCCACTCTAGAGCGATGAGTCCACATGATCTCATGATCTCGGGTATCTACAAGAAAGGGATGGGTGAGAGTGAAAGGAGTAAAAGAATGAGCCTTCTTTCACAATATAAGAGGATTTAGCATTGTATTTAATGGAGGGTAGCTGAAAAACACAAGGTTTATTTCCTATGTTATGAGTTGTGAAAGAGAATAACCAATTTCTTGGTGTTGAAATTTGAGGGGCCTTTGTCCTTCTCAACTTCCATCGACATGTTACTATCGTCCTTTCATTATTACTTTTTGCATGTGAAGTAATTTCCTTCTAGTATCTTCCCCCGCATCATCTGTTATTCTACTTGTTTCCTTGTGCCTGGCTTTATCGTTTGTTATTCTCCACTTAAGTGTTATATTTCCCACATAGTCCCACACTTTGAAGAGGACAAATCATCATCAAGTCTTCAATAATATGAATGTGCATGTTGCAATGATTTTAGTGTTTATTTTATTTTATTGTCATGCTAGTGATTGGTTGTATCATTACATTCCCTTAGTTCATAACTTACACCCCCCCCCCCCCCCAACTGTTTCGTTCCTTTTTCATTCCTTGGACCAGTTTTTGGGTAGTGCAAGTGTGACATATTATAATTCAATTCTAGGTGCTGGTTTGAACGTTAATAGTCAACGTAGGGAGCACTCCTACAGTGCTACTTAACTACTAGGTCAACTCTGTTGAGTTACAAGCTCTTCTTCACTCTGAATCATTTTTGGGCTTATGTGAATGCGATACTTTGCGTAGGTGCATGTTGTTACCTTTTTCGCCACATTAGTGCCCCCAGAACACTTACACTTGTTTAGTGCTTGATGGAATTAGATGCTGAAATTATCTCAAGCAATTATAACACCCCCATCTATTATGGCAAGTTATTTGTGTCTATCAAATACAATGCTCATGGTTCAACACTCTGCCCATAACTACCTTAACTTTTTTGCCCCCACTTTTCCGTAATTTTTCAAAAAAATGTTCTATTTTAGTGTCCACTATCAGTTACCACTACCTCCGCTTGAGCTATAAATAGGACGAGCAGGATTTATTTCTATTTAAAGCTTGGATTGACGTCATTTGGAAGAAGCATTCATCAATGAAAGTAACTATTCATCCCTTCATTTACCCTTTTTTCTAAGTGGAAAGCAAAAGAGAACTCCTTTAAACACCCATCTCAATACACAATAATTTCAATTTGTGTTGTATCACTTTTACTACTCACTGCTTAAGTCACTCTGACAGCATCAACTCTATAGTAAGAAACTCCATCCTGTTTCTCTGGATAAATAAATAAATAATAACGCACGAAAAGAAAAAGGTGTAACAATGTACAAAACCACAGTCACCATTAAATACACACTTACATAACTGGCTCCATCAGCACAATTTGTGGAGCACGGTCCCTGCTGTCATAATTTTGCAAAAATGTGCATGTAATTCTACCTAAGTTTGACCAGGAATAGTTTGAGATAATCTAAACTTAGACGGACCTACTGATGTCAAATGTAACAGCTAGAGTTGTGTATATGGTATTAAGTATTAACTATTAAGTCTTCTAGCCAATTAAGAATAAGCTAGCAACGTATGTGATAGGACTTGGCGGTGTTGTTTGGTAAGAGATTGGCAAGGCAGGTAAGACTTAAAGAGAACTTTGCTAGCCCTTTAACAGATGCTAAAAGATTTGTTTACTTTTGCATCACTAATCCACCAAACTTTTATTGATTTGAAACCATTTACCATCAATAAGGAAAATAGACCATATTAACCTATTCTTTCATTTTCCAAGACATAATTAGTACGATTTAGTTTTCAAAAATAACAGTTAAGATCTATGTAACTTCGGCACTAATGTAAACACGGAATGACTAATAACAATGAAAGTGAACAATCATTTAAGGATGTCGAAGACTCCACTTATTTCCCTCTCCCTCACAAAAAGTGGAAAAACAAAAGTAAACAGAAAACAAAAGAAAACAAAAACAGAAACAAAAGGAAAGGAGGAAAAATCTCTTCCCCAAGGGAGGATAAAATTTTTACATGGATCATCGGAACCAAAAAACAAGGTGAAATATTCTTAAATACATACTTAAAATCTGTGTGAAAAGCTTGACAAGATGGGGGAGCCATAGCAAGTGGGACACACCGTTTTCTGACCCACACATTCCTCATCTTCACGTATATAAGGGCCCATGAAAAACAATGCATGGCCAAATCAAAATCAAACAGTCCTCTCTGCCTCTCTCTCAAATCAACTCTTTCTCTCCCACTTTTTTTTTTTTTCCACACAGACATATGAAGGAGTTGAGGGGAATGGTGTCTGGTTCGAGACCATTCTTCTGAAGCAAAGAGCATCACCCTTGAAAATGAGAATGATCTCGGACCAGGCTTCATTCCCCCTAACTCAAAGTATCTTCCATGATCTTTCTCTTCCTACTAACAAGTTAATTCGTTCTTTTTGTCATGATCTTGCTTCTAACAATTTACTTCATTCTTTTAGTCTCCGAGAGAATTCAATGGCCAAGTAACGTGTAAGTTCCAAGTTCTTGTCTCTCAATCTTTTCTTGAAAGTTTGTGTTACTTTCTTGAAATTTTCAGCCAAAAAACACAGAAACTCTGATGAAAATGTTGAATCTTAGTTTTGGACAATATTATTACATAATCTGCTGGAAAACTCAAAGATGACTCGGTTGAGTTGGTTTTTCATTTTCTCTTTAAAATATATTTGTCCAGCACATTACATACTTGCTTTGGTCAAGCATGAGAATTCTATGTCTCAAATAGTCATCTTAGTCCTTCTGTTTATGTGTTAGTTCCTATATGGTTAACAATATCCAATGTGTTTATTGTTAGGAGCAAAAATGAATATATTCAAAAAGGGTAGAGAATCTGTGTTTTGGTTTTGTTTGGATATATATATACACACAGAAAAAAAAAAAAAAAAACACTGATCATTAAATTTTCTGTGGAATTGGTTTGTGAAACCATGTCCCTCTTTTCTTCTTTTCACCAAATTCGTTGAAAAACAGAGTTGTTGGTGTGAAATTATGACTGAAAAGGGAAAATCGAATTGATATGCAAAAAAGTTGTGGCTTATCTTTTTAAAGTTGAATTTTTGTCGATTGGCTTTGCTTGTGGAGAGTGGCAAAGAATATAAGATTTAGACCTTTCACTTTATTTGTTGGAAGAGTAGGGTAGAACTTCTTTTAGAGTACCAAACACATCAAAGTGAAGCTTTGAATTTTACTCTTCTTTCAAGCTTAAGACTGCCATCATAGCCAATCCATCTTACTCTTAGCCCATTCCTCACTTTTAATGCCATGTGGGTCACAGATTGTGCATGAAAACCCCATAATACCATATGGGTCAGGCTACTATGCATGATTCATGAAAACCCTATAATACCATATGGGTCCGTTCTGAATTGGATCTTATTCTCAGCCCTAATTTCCTATGCTACAATCCTCACCCCATATGTGGTTTACTAATTCTACTCTTTGCTGATACACTCATACTACACAACAATTCAGTTAAAGACATAGCATTAAATTTGCTGAGGTAGTGAAATAAAAATATAAGGTAACATTATTTCTACGCTAAAAAATATTACAACATAGCAACATCTTCACACTTTTCTAGTTTTAGAAAAGAAAAAAAGAAGAAGAAGAAATAAAGATGAATGTGTTAGAGTACGTTTTCTACTTTTATCATTTAAGATACAATGTCTTTAGTTTTTATAAATATGATTAAATTTTGTTTTAATCTTTCAATTTTTAATGAATTTTAATTCCTATAAAATTTTTAAAAATATATCACTGCTTAATGATAACATAACTTGCATTTAAACTTGTCATTTCATATATTGTTAGACTAGTCACAAGCGTACGAGTTAAATGTATTATGTATGCATCACTGATAAATTTTAAACAAGAAGTTTTTTTTAACTAAATTATCCAGTTATTTTTATTTTTATAAAAATAATTAGAGATAGAGATGTAAGTCATAATGGTTTACTATAATTAGTATTTTCTGTCAAAAAATACTTCGTATAACCCTAATGAGTTTTGCACTATAAACGTTTCATTGACTTTGGGCAAGAAACTATCAAAGACATCACGTTACATGGAACCCAGTGGAGCCAAAGCACATAGCAGTTCTTGATCAAATTTTGAAAAGGAGAAAATTAATAAAAATATTTTATATGATGTCGTTAATGATGTTTTAAACACTAGGAATCTTAAATATTTTATAGATGAAAATAAGTAGTATATACGTAGAAGAAAAATAAACTCTAGCTTAGACTTTTCATGGATCATTGGCACTACCCTCTTGCAATGATGAGAGAAATAACAACATTGTGGGATTTTAGATACTACATTGGCACACAAATATAGTGTACTTTGGAACGGGATTCCAGCAGATAGAGGAGTCAAAAGAGAACAGAGACATATTGAGTATGTTATCACAAACGCAAAGATAAAGTTAATCCCTATGCTCGATAAAGCCCATTATATTAGAATCCATTCTCAACTTAGTAATATAAAGCATTCAACAGAACATCTGAAAGAACTTTGAAAAGGTTACTTAAAAAGAGTGAAAGAGATTTTGTTGGTAATCGCTGTCACACAACTTTTGCCTCAGAAGCATACACAACACAGTACCACTAAAATAATACCCTATTTTATAACACTAATATTATTATTGCTTATAAATAGAGTATTTTCAGGGAGAGAGAATTCCATTGAAAAAAAAAAGACTTCATTATTATGAGAAATCGTAACGATGAATACACTGTAAAAAATATTATTCATTTATAGACAAAAGGTGTTAACTATGAGAATTGTCTCCTTTGGCGTAATATTTAGCTGACAAAATTAACCTATTATATGAATATAATATATTTATTCTAAGTATTATACTAATAAGTTAATTTATTAATATATTAATTTAAATTCTATCTCAATAAAATTGTATATTAGTAATTATACGACACTAATAATAAAAAAATTATAATATACTGACAGTATAGTGGTCGATGAAATATTTCATGAATTATGTCATCATTTAAAATAATTGCAATATATATATATATATAAAAGACTAATTTTAATGATTTAAATAAGGAAAATACATTACTCGGGCAATTAGAGAAGTTTAAAATTGTGCCACATTGTAAGTCAGGACCGGTTATGGGGGCTTAGCAAAACTTGCACAAGGAATCTTTTGATAATGTAAAGTATACACTTTAAAATTTAATTTTCTTGCTTTTAGTTGTGATGCAAAATCAGCTGTTGAATTAGTGTAATATAATATTTTCAATTGCTTTTTTTTAATCAAATCTTCATTTGATTTTTTGGTATATTTTTTATTAATAATAAATCTATAAAGTGTCAAATAAGTATTTAATTAAGGTGTTTATTTAAATATATTGTCTGCATTACTGTATTTATTTATTTTAAATAATTACTTTTTTATTGCAATTTTTTAAGAGTTTTCTGTTTTTTTAATAAACGGGGTAAACCCAACAAAACAAAACCCAGGTACACCATCTAGACCAAAGATATTTTTAAAAAAATTACTATTACTTCTTGATAATATATGTTTTCAAATAAGCAGTAATTGCGCCATGAAAGTGCAGAATTGCTCCAGAATTACATTGCACTAGTTACATTTTTAGTATATTAATTTGCGTCTTGCTAGCAGCCGGTTAAGAAATTGATGATAAAGAATTTTTCTTAAAAATACATTTAAGTGCATTAAAATTTATGAAAATAAATTTTATTTTATATTTTGACAAAAACTTTCAACTCTTTATTTCTTAAGCAGTACTCTAAGTATTTTCCTATCAATTTATATATTTTTGGGATTTTTTGCACAAAAGAAAATATTTAGTTTTTTTTTTCTTGAACTAAAAGTAAAAAAAAAATAACTATAAAAACTTAGTCATTATGTATAATAAAAAAAAGTATATTAACATCAGTATTTAAATTTAATTTTCATTTCTTAAAAATAGAAATTTTTATTTTAAATATTTATTATAAAGAAATTCATTTTGTATATTTTTATTTTTAGATATTTAAAATTATTATTATTTTAAATTGACTTTAAGAAAATCATATAATATTTGAAGCCAATCTATGACTCGTGTGTAAAACATTGTCATTTGTCTGCAAATTGAAATAAATTAATGAGCAAATGTCAGTTCAGCATCAGCAGCAAGAATGTCTACAATCTACGGTACGATGTTTGATCCCAACACTATTCTGATTGTCTCTCTGTACCTAAACGTTCTTACTGTCCAAACGTGCAGAGCCAAAGTAACACATTGCCGTTGGATATAATGGATCTTCAATGCAGGGCTTAGATTCGTTACGGGCAACTTGTAGAACTGGTAACGCATGCGAATATGCTGAAATTGCAAAGTGGTTCTTGGACTGAGACCACCACCAGCTCCACTCCCATGACGAAGTTTGAATTAATGTGTAATGGGGTTTTATTGGCTTTGATATGATTATTCGGATTTGTCATCATTGTTGACTTTGAATCAAATCAGATATTTTCATCATGGGAATCAAGACGATCCAATTTACCCTGTGAATGTAAACTTCTGGAGGCGTTCCAAAATCAAGTACCCTTTTTACATGTATCTTTAAAATGGAAGGCAAGTATGAAAAATAATAAGTAACCCATTTTTTTAACGTATTTTTAATTATTAATTAAAATTTATTAAATAAATAAACTCTTAAATTAATCCATGAAATTGTAAGTGTCAAGTAAATTGGTACAAAATTTTTAAATAAATTTGTTGAAGTTAGAAAAAACTAATAACACATTATTAATTACTGACTAAAATTTATTAAAAGAATAAACCATCAAATTATTTAATGAGATGGTGAATATTGGATAAATGAATCTATGAAATTAATTTTTAAATATACTTGTTCGTTCTCCGACTTTAATTAAATACTTTAATTTAGTTTCTATCATGACTGTGTTAACTTTTATCCATTATCTTTTCTCATCTTGTTCCACTATTTTCTACTGATAGCCTCTGTCACTATCGTTTCTAGCTCCTCTTCCCCAACTTGCTACCGTCAACTTAAAAAATGAATCCACTTAAATATTTTCAATAAAACTTGAAATCTCAACACTTCCTAAGTTCCTCTTACGTTAGTCTTCTGACTCCTTATCAACACATTCCTTTTGTTTCAAAATCTCATGTTTCTTTACGTATTATGAAGAACCGCGAAACAACCTTCTTCTATCACTTAGTCAATTTCCACAAAGAATAGAGCAATTTTTAAGCCTCTAATGCTAGTGCCAAGTGGTAGTAGATGATGAAAAGAGAACGATGAAACGATATCGTTAAACGAAAAAATGTTAATACCATTATAATATAAATCATTAACTGAATCAAAGTGTTCAACATTTGATAAAGTCGAGAACATATCAAAAATTAATTTACTAGACTCTTAGTGAATTTTGTAAACTAATTTGGAGAATTTACTCTTTATTAAAAGTGAAATATTAAATTAAAATTTTTTTTACTCTTAAAATAAATTTTATTCAACATTAGATGAATGTTTTAAAAAAAATATATATTAAAGAGTGAGTTATCTCATTTCTCTAATGGTTTTTGTGAGTTTTCGGGTTTGGTACCAAAAAAATTTAATATTAACCATGGGTTCTCTTATTCCTTAGTCTATACTTTTAAATCTTCATAAGCAGAATAAAACCCAATCTTCACCCTCCCAACCCTTTTAGGAGAATAAAACAAGTTGTTCTGATTTACAATTTCACCTTAAAAGAGTATGTTTACCTAAAATGTTCACAAAGGACTAAAAGCAAATAATTGGAACGGGATCAACCTACTACATCCGGTAAAATAATGCACGGACGTTAGTGGAATGGCATGTGTCTACGTGGCAAATTCTAGACCTCGCATGAACAGCTTTATGTGACAGCTAATGCCATTCCAAGGCATTTTGTTTTGGCAAGTGCAAGTGACTCACTCTTCTTTGTCCCACGACCAGAGACAGAAGCAAACCAAATATCCTTTGTGCGGTTTCATAATCAAAGGGTATGTTTCTTTTCATTTTTAATTTTGCCTAATGCGTTGTTCCGTTTCGGACTTGTATTGTAGAATCGCATACAAAAAACTCTTTTCATAATCAACTTTATATGATTATAAAAATATAATGCTCCCTTTGTGATAGTTTATCTTTTATATTCTATTTTTCTTTTCGATTGCTTCTTTGCACGTGATAAAGGAGTGTGCATCATGTTCATGTTCATTTGATCCTATACTCTTATCATAGTAATTAAGTTTCTGATTTTTTATCTTGTATGTATTAAAAATGGACTTTGAGTCAGCTTGAGGTCTTGATCAGGTCTAATTATCTATTTCCCTAGGCTTGTTGATTTCCATATATCCAAATATAAAGAAGAGAACACAACAGCATATAGATGCAAGTTTGAACCGGTCTTGCTGTGCCTGGATTTAAAGCAATATAAATAGAAAGTTAAGTCAAATCAATGTCTTAAAGTTCATAGAATCGTACCGATAATACATTGTTTTGATCTCTACATTTTACATAGATGATGTGCCGAGAAAGCAAAACGGAATATGTGGGCCTTTTTTAATAGTCTAAAGCGTCATGAGTTGATCCTTGACACTGTACATGACAAGAATCAAGAAATATATTGCAACTTAATGCATCCGGAAAATTGTCCTATGCATTTGATACTATGAGGAATGCTTTAGTTGTGTTTCTTTCTAGTCTCCTTCTAATTTGTTTCATTGGAATCTCTTCATCTTCTAAATGTAATAAGATGCATCTAGCAAAACATGATTTGAGTAACCTATAATTTAATCAAGTAATTTGACGATAAACTTAGTACTAAGGAGCTAGTTGTGTTGTCATTCATACCCTTGCAAATTTTTCATTTTATTACTACATAAAAGACTATTTTGACTGTTATTGCAGGACCTTCCCCTGAATTTCGATTACTGAATAGTGAAGATGAGTTCAGAAAACAAGCCAATAAAACCAAAAACTGATTTTGAGCTCGTACTAAATTATTCTAATCAGTGTATTTGGGATAATTTGAAAAATGACCCAGGTGCAGGTGCAAATGCAGCTTCTAGAGTAGACAAGACATTTTCTGGCAGTGATCCCCTATCAGAAATAGTTTGGTCTCCAGATAAAGGTTTCAGTCTTAAATGTGTTGATTCAAGTTTTACTAATAAAAATACCTCTCTTTTTGGGGATGTTGGACCAAGCAGCATGGTTCTCGCTCTGCTACAAAGCGTTACTGGTGGAAATTCTACCACAGATAAACCAATAGAAGACGTTTTTGATGAACCTATTACTGTCATATGCACAAAGAGTGATGTTCCTTCCACATATTCTCCTGCTCGGCATCCAACAAGTGATTCAGTTGTCATCATTCCAGACTATAAAACATGTGAAGAGAATCATATCCATGATACAGGTAAAAATAACATTTCCTGTGGTTCCAGTAGATGTAGGGAAAGGTGGATTTGCAGCAGATATTTGAGTTCAAATTAGCCTAACTGAATGAGACAGAAAAAACCTGTTATCCCAAATAGTGAAATGGTGAATTGAGACTTATCAGTTTGCTTGGTTTCCTTCTTGTCACTTTTTTTTTTCTGTAGACTAGTTTTGCTCAATCCTACAGAACTATGGTCTGACAGGATTTGATGATATGGAGAAAATGAACAATGGGGAGACTCAAGCCAATATTGGAACATCTATAATATCTGAGATAAAGGGATCTTCCACTATTTCTGGTATGTGCTGTCATCATTGCTTCTTTGGCTCTGACAGTACAATAATTTAGTCATTTTTTAGGAAACTTTTGTTACTCTAGTTTGGAACATGTTCTGTATATTTGTTGAGATTTGTAAACAATTTATATCAATATTCCTGGATCATAGAGAATTATTCTTATCATTCTGGCAGGTTGTTTTTCTAACTCATCGTGAGTTCTAAATTTAAAATATTTCCTTTATATTTAAGTAACACGGATTTTATTTTATTATTTGTTAAACAGATATGTCAATTCATTCTTTTGTGCATGCCTGAAATATTACCTGCATCATGATTTTCCTTCAGGTCAGGTTGATCAAAGGCTGGTTACTAATTTATTACTTCAAGCTGATGAACCTAAATCTCGCATGAAAGAAAATCCTTCACCAATGAATCATTGCAATGGGGGCATAGATACTGGTGTTGTCAACGAGGTGGTTGAAATAGAAGATGGTTTATATACTAAGGTTGAGCATATAATTGAATATAAAGATTCTAGTGCTCTAGGTGCAAATTTAAAATCTGCTGGCATCAGTCCTTCACAAAAACTGGAATTACGAACTTTAAACTGTGTGGCTACTCGTGCAGCAACAAGCAGAGTTCTTGTCTCAAAATCCAACGGGAATGAAAACAAATCCCAAGTCAATGAAATGATGCTACTATGCAATAAGAATATTTCAGTTATGCATTCTCCATGTAATAGCAGAATTCATATGACAAGAAATGCAGGAAATGACAAGTCCTTATCAAATGGGCATTCAAATGTTTGTTTATCGAAGGAGGAGAATGATTGTCACTTGAGCGTTGAAAGCTGCCACAATACTTGCTTTTTGTCAATAGGAAAGAAGAGATGCAACTTTCAACAAGTGATAATTGGGAGTAAAAAGGTCAAAACGCAAATTCAAGAAACTCCATGTTCTAAATCAGATGTTAAACCGGATAGCTCATTCATGAATTTGATTTCAAACATCATGAAAGGATGCTCACAATCAACTCAAGATGAGGATAAGTCTTTGGCTCTTGCACCTGAAAATCCTGATCATTGTCTTCAATGGCCTGATCAGAAACTTCTCACACGCAATAATAATAAAGAACCAGAGCTAACAAATGCAGGATTCAGATCCAATTCTCTGGCTATGTGTTGTCCAAGACTTAACAATGTTAGAACGAGAATGTGTCATCAAGTAGGAGAGGCTTTTAAAGATTTTGAGCTAGGTAACAAGGGACATGGAATAGATGCCACTCCAATATATTTTTTAGCAGAGAACAATAGCCTTTACAGACAATACTTGCATTCAAATAAACTTGAAGTATCTAAAGGGAGAAATGGTGCCTGTCCACCCTTGCATCCTCAGACCACACCTATACATTTTATCAACAGTCATGAACACTGGAAAAATAACTCAGTGGAGAATGAAAATTGTTACAAGTTGGGGCATAGTAAGGGGAAGGAAAGAATGACATCGCTTTCATTACATTCACCTTCAACTAGACAAAATAAAAATGAGAATGTTGAGTCTTATGCACTATGTGAGGGAAAGGAAATCTGTCATAAAAGTGATACCCTGGGAGGTCTCTGGATAAATCGATTTTCACCAAAGTCAACGTCCCCCTTGCTATTATTTGATCATCCTAATGAGAGAGGTGGTTCTGAAGTCCATTCTACGTCTTACTCAATGCTTCCACATTACCATAAACACATTGCTCTGAACAACTGCAAGACTGAAGATGCCAAAGAACAATCTGCTGATGAACAATTGCTCAGTGAGGCCATAAAATTAAGTAATTATTGTATCAGTAAAGAGGCCTCCACAAGTCTTAAGGATAATAAGGGAGATCATAATCATACATCAAAGCATAACTTCAATTCCATTACACCTTTACCAGTACTGGGAGATTCGGGGCCAATGGTATGCATGTTTGCAAGGAGAGTAGGTGCCATCAAACAATGCCAACTTACAGAATAGGCTCCAACACAGGTAATCATGGCTATCTTGTTTTATAGGACAAGAGTCACTAACTTGTGATTTCACAAAGATTACAGAAAATATTATAGGACCTCAAAAAGAATATAAATACATGTATGGGAGAATTGGAAGCATCTCCATGTCTATGCATTGTTGTTGGAATACTTATAATTTCATCTATCCTTTTTCCTTTGGGGCAAGTATGATGAATACATTATTTCATCATGATTGACCTTAGTTTCATGATACCATAATACCATTAATTTATTAAATAATAAAATGGCCATCGACTGAAGAGTGAGTCTGAAACGTTTTTGTTAAAACCCATAGTTAGCAGTTCCAAGTGAGATCTGTTTTAATACTATCATAATTTATTATGTGAAAGGGAATATATTGTTTGTCTGTGTATTCTAGAGATGCCAAAGGCAGTAGCAGATTTTAAGCAGATCCTTTCACTATAATCTCTTATTAAGAGAAGATATATCCTACTATTTTAGTCATGATCGAGATTGTAACATTGATAGAACATGGTAAATACACTGAAAGGTTGATGGAATGGTTGTGGGTAGTTCTGGCATAGGGTGCAAATCCTAGGAAATTTTCAATGATTCAAAATTTGGAACATTTTGTGTCATGTGAACGGAATAGTCAAAGTAAAAAATGTCTAGCTAAGCAACTCCTTAGTCAAGTTTTTTTTTTTATGGTCCAGAGTCAAGTCTATCGCTTTATAATATGTAATCTTGTCAGGTTGGGCCTGATCAAGTCTAAATTATAAAAGTCAATAATTACTTTATTAAGTCTGTTTCTGGATATGAGTGCACCACAACAGTAAAGTTAGCTTTTGCTTTTTCTCAGCACCATCTGTCAATGATCGTCTCTTTTAAACTTTACTTAGCAGGTGGTGCGGTCCTTTAATTGTGAACCAGTTAGTATAAGCCATTTGTTTCCTACTGTTTCCACTATTTGGTTATAAAAATTAGTTGATCGTATAGTGATTTATATGAACACCATTAAGTTATATGAAATGGAAATCTAATTTTTGTCTGCTTTGTTCCATCTTTATCTAATCCTATAGGAAGACATCATTGAGTGGTGGTACACCACCCCAGAAGCTGGTGCTGAGATTTCAACTGAAGATATAATAGAAAAAAATTCAAAATAACAAAATGATAGATTTCCGATTTCAAGGCAAAGTGTCTATCATTAATAGCATGAGTTTATAGTGTGTTTTGTAGACAAAATTTTTGTTTTTCTTTGTAATCTGATATAATTATTGTACATGAAAGGATGCTTGAAACTGATGATGTTGTCCACCCACCCAACATGCACCATCAAAGGCTAACTATTCTAATATTTTGCTTTATCTTTGAAATGAAAGTAATGTCAGTACATTACAATCAATACTTCTACCTTACTTTCAGCAGAATTTGTATTTGTGTACATTGCTCGTGAATAAGAGTGCACCTTCATGGGGTTTAAATTTGATTATCAAGCTTGTTTCTAGATTTGGAGAAAAGGTTTCTCTTTCGCTTGCTCTTTCTCTCTAGTATGGTCCTTCTAAATTAGTGGCGATGTCAAATTATTTTTTGGTAGCATCTTTTCTGTGGGCTTTCTTTTTATTTTAATTCCCTTGAATTAGTTTAACTTACCTAAGCATTAAATTCTTTTTGCTTGAAGTAATTTGCGTTGAATAGTTTATTTTGTTGTGCGTCAACATTTGGTGCAAGTAACTTTCATAAAAGTATGGTTGTTATACTAACTATATTGATAAAATAATACACGAAAAAGTGCTATTGTCGTAAATTCGAGAAGCAGAACATTGCTGCATGTGGAATAAGTCTGGCCACAACTTTAAGGAGCACTTGGGAGTTCAAAATTTGAACACAAAATTCTCTTTCCAGCCTACCATTCTATTAATCTTCACTATATAATTCTTGGCAATTGGATCTATTTACATCAAAAGGAAGATTATCTCCTGAGAAAAAAAATAAAAAATAAAAAAAGAAAGGATTACCCATTCATTAGCTAGGGCAGTTTTATGCCTCTCGGCAATGCCACACTGAAAAAATCTTTATATACAAACAAATTCTTCAGTTGGCCACCAGCATCATCTTATAGTTTCACCAGTGAGAGGGTCATCTTATCTTGTACTTCTGCAATGCCGAAATAGCCAATTTTGATTACCTTAAAGCACGCTTGCGTGATTCAAATAGGCTACTTACATTGACCTGGGAGCCAAATTGAAGTGTACAAGTTTATTGGATGACTTGGAAATTTTGCAATTTTACCTTGGACAGTGTGGTAACTCCATTGCACTAAGAAAACAAATTGAGCCTCTGATTCGTTTGAGAAACAAAATAGAAAAAGTTAAAGAATTTAAGTTGAAAATATTTTTAAAAAATCAAAAGATTATTTTGGTTGTTTGGTATAAAAAATATAAAAGAAAATAAAAAGGAAGAAAGTGACTTTATCTTTGAATGGGCAACTGTGTCCTTAAAAGAAATGTGCATACTATTATTTTAATATATTTGATTAAATAATAAATGTATTATATTAAGAATATAAAATATAATATTATTTGAGAAAATAAAATAATTTTAAATTATTTTATTATATATTTTTTCAACATATTTACTTTTTTTGTTTTATCATCTCAACATTTACTCATTTAATTAAAAATGCAAAATAAACTATTAGCACAACTACTAAATACAAGAAAAGAAAAAAATATGAAGGCAAGCATACGAGAATAAAAATACTCTTAGAAAATAAAATAAGTTTAGTTTATGACAACTCAACATTACTTATCAAATAATTACAAGGTTAAGAAATTCAAGTTGAATACAAAAGCTTGACATGTGAAGGTTCATGAAGTTTTTAGAAGATAAAAGATGGTCAAATATTGTGGTTCTAATTAACAAGTTTTTAATTCTAAATTAAATTTTGAATAACCAAGTTCCTTGTCAAATTTAACTTTTACCATGTATGCTTAGCAATTAAGTTATATAATTTTATTTATTATTTTAATTATTTAGTTGAGCTATATAAAGAGCATGGCATATGTATTGTGGTGTAGTGAAAAAATTGAATGAATAAAACCTTGAGTATTTGAGAATTTGTGATATCAAATTGATATTAGAGCTTGAGAGTGTTGAGAGTTTGAATGCCAAATATTTTTAAAAGAAAAGTGAGTGTTTGAGGAACAAAAGGGTTTTCATTTTTTCTTACAAATTCTATAAGAGTCAGTTTGTGAGAGAGAGATATGTCAAATTACAATATTATTTGGTCTAGTCTTAAATTAGATGGGAAGATTGATTATAGTTATTGGGCACTTTTGATGTCCACTCATTTAAAAGCTCACAATATTTGGAGCTTTGTTGATCCAAGATTAGAAACAGGAGCTGATGCAACCGCTCAAAGAAGGGTGATAAATGTTTTCTATACTTGATCCTACATTGTAATTCATGAATGATAATTGAGAGTTTTAAGCTATTCATTGAGAAAATTTACTATTATTAATTTCATTTTATTCATATTTCAGGAAAAAGGATCAAGAAGTGAAAGCTTTAAAGATGTCGAGAATTGAAGAAAAAAAGAAACCAGAGATATACACGGGCAAGTACATGCCCGTGTTGCCCGTGTATATGAGCGTGTATATCACTGGTCATGTCAATTGAAGTGTATCATCAAGACCAGAGATGTACACGACCAGATACATGGTCGTATACATGAGCGTGTACTTTTATGGAAAGCTTTGAAAGGCATCTATTAGAAAACAGAGATGTACACGGCCAAGTACATGACCGTGTACTTGGCCGTGTACTTTTACGCGCGTCAGAAATTTAACTTTTGCCAGAAAATTAACCCTAGGATAATTTCTATAAAAGGAGAACTGAACTCAAACCTAAGGGAGACGGTTTTTGGAGACGAAAGACTCAGAAACGGCAAGAGGATGGGATTAAGCATTTTATTTCATCTCTTTTGTAATTTTAATTTCAAGATGTTTAGGTTCTAACTTTCTTTTGAGTATCTAGACGTAATGAATCCTAATTGACTAAATTTTCTGGAATTCTTCTAATGCTATTTCATGTTCTTCTCTCTTGGGTTTAATTGAGTAGTATCAATTTTTTCTATCTTGTTTTCTTGTTTGAATTTGAGTAAAATTCCTGCATGAAATTAACATTGCTCAATTAAAAAGACTTGAATGTATTTCTAGAGATAGAAAGACGTGAGTTTTCTGTATTAGGATTAACCCTAATTATGGAATTCATAATGAACTTAATGCAACCTAGGAGTATTAATTAAGGAAGAGATTCCGATTAATCAACTGAGGGTTAGGAATCATTATCCTTGAGAAAGGTAATGATTTAATTTAGAATTTCCTGCAGCGATAAGGGTTTGGAACTAAATAGTTGAAGAAGAATTTCAGTTATTTGGACACTTAGGGGGATTTACAGTCTAGATACTTGCCTTTTTACATTGAATACCTTTAGTCATAATTTTCTATAATTTATTTTCACTAGAATATCTGTTCCTTTTAATTTATTATTCTTTTACTTTTAGCAATTTTATCAACAAGGTTTTTTTCTCATATTTATTAACAATTACGCAATTAAGGAAAAGTTTCTTAATAACAGTCTCTGTGGATACGACACTTGGTACTTTAATTTTAATTTTAATAATATTACTTCGACAACGGGTACACTTGCCCAGTGATCAGTTTTTACACACCAAAGGGACCAGTTGGCGTTATTACAAATTCATGAAGGAGTTGATTATTCAATTTTTGACAAAATAGCAAATGCCAAAACTGCTAAAGAAGCATGAGACATTTTGAAACTGTCATATAAAGGATTTGAGAAGGCTTAAAAATTCAAATTGCAATCTCTAGGTAGATAATATGAAATATATGAGATATCTAGTTTAGAAACTGTTGAACAATATTTTTCACATGTCACAAATCTCGTGAACAAAATGAGGATGTATGGAGATGACATCTAAGATAGCAAGGTAATAGAGAAAATTCTCCATACCATGCTAATAAAGTTTAATCATGTGATGACTACAATAATAGAGTCTCATGATACAGACACGATGACTGTAGCAGAGTTGTAGGGAAGCATAGAAAACCATGTGAGCATAAATTAGAGAACTCAGAAAAAGTAAACGAAGAAGCCTTGAAGAGTTAGGTGAATCTCAACAATGATATTGAGTCTAATCAAAATGCTAAAAGTAGAGGTCATGGTTTCAATAGCAGAGGCCATGGTTTTAATAGTAGAGGTCGTGGCAATTTTAACCAAGAAAAAGACAACAATTTCATGCCACCAAGTCAAGGACGGGAAATAATTTTGGGACTATTAGTTGAGGAAGAGGAAGAAAGGGCTATTATCAAGAAAGAACAAATTTTAATTGTTATCATTGTAGAAAGTTTGGCCATAAAGCTGCAGATTGTAGATTTCGACAACAAGTAAATATGGCAAAAAATTAGTATCAAAATACTGGTGAGTTCTGATAACCCACAAAGTTTATTTTTGGTAACTAATAATTTTGTAGAGGATGAGAACATCTGGTATTTAGATACTGGATGCAGTAATCATATGTGTGGGAAGAAGGAGTTATTTTACTCTCTGGATGAAATGGTCAAATCTACCGTGAAATTTAGAAATAATTGAAATATTCCAATATTAGGGAAATGCCAAGTTGCTATCAGACTAAAAGATGATTCTTAGAACTTTATCTCAGATGTATTCTATACTCTTGGTCTTCATCATAATATATTGAGCATGAGACAACTGTTAGATAAAGGGTACAATATGCAGATCTACCGAGGCTATTGTAAGTTGATAAACAAAAATGGAAGATTTGTTACTAAGGTACAAATGACACCGAATCGTCTATTCTCTTTGAAAATTTAGCATGAAAAAATTTCTTGTTTGAATTTTGTGATTCCAAATGATGATTAGTTGTGGACATGCGTTTTGGTCATTTCTATTTTTCTGGATGAAATTATTTGTCAAAGAAAGAATATGTTTTTGGTTTACCTATTGTAAATGTTCCCAATAATGTATGTGAGACTTGTCAATTAGGAAAGAAACACAAAATCATTTCTTACAGGAAAGTCTTGGAGAGCGAGAAAGTTGCTAGAAATTATCCACTCGGATTTGTGTACAGTCGAGATACTAACATATGGCAGTAGTAAATACTTTATTACTTTCATTGAAGATTTTAGCAAAAAAATCTAGATATATTTTTTAAAGCAGAAATCAGAAGCTTGTGATGCGTTTAAGTCTTTTAAGGCATTTGTGGAAAAACAAAGTGGTTGTAGAATTAAAGCATTGAGAACAGATAGAGGCCAAGAATACATTGTCTGTATAAATTTCTTTCAACAGTAGGGAATACAATACCAACTAACAACTATATACACATCTCAAAAAATTGGTATTGTAAAAAGAAAAAATAGAACAATCATGACTATGGTCAGATGTATGCTGAAGGACAAATAATTACCT